GCACTCCAGTCTGGGCAACAGAGTGAGACTCCAACTCAAAAAAAAAGAAAGAAAGAAAGATCCAGGACATCCACTCAGTGAGCCCAGGTTACTCCCCTCTCAGTTCTCCACATCATTCTCCTGAACCTTCCCAGCTCACATGGTAGTTTACATGATGCTGGTCAGGCCTGCAAGTTGCTCTCCCTGCCTTCTGCCAGCTCAGGCAGCCTCTGGGCTCCGCTCTTCTGGCTGGGTGTTCAGTCTAGGGTTTTGCTTTCCAGCAAGTCCTTCCCGCCATAGCATCTCGGAGTGGAGAATGCAGAGTATCGCCAGGGACTCAGATGAGAGCTCAGACGACGAGTTCTTTGATGCACATGGTATGTGGGCAGTCCCTGCAGTCCCAGGGCCCTCCTGGGCCAGATGGGATGGGTCTGAAAGGGTGGTATGATGTGGGAATTACCCATTACTATGTATGTATACCTGTGGACATAGTGGACAGCCCGGTGTTTGGGGTGGGGGGCACAGAGGATAATATGAAGTCATCCAGCTCCCTTGAGTCTGGAGTCTCAGGCTCACCTTTACCTGATAACAGGATATGCTGTGGGCCTGGCAGTTGGGGATTGTGCTCTTGAAACCCCCAGATAAGAAAATGGCAGCTCATACCTCTAATCCTAGCACTCTGGGAGGCCGAGGTGGGAGGATCACTTGGACCCAGCAATTGAAGACCAGCCTGGGAAACATAACAAGACCCTGTCTCTACAGAAAATTTAAAAAATTAGCTAGTCATGATGTTGTGCACCTATAATCCCAGCTACTTGGGAGACTGAGGTGGGAGGATGACTTGAGCTCAGGAGTTCGGGGCTGCAGTGAACTATGATCACATCACTATACTCTCTCTCAGAAAAGAAAAAAAATGGAAACAAGGATGTAAAATCAGACTGGGGCTTTATTCCATATGTGAATGAATTTCCATAAGAAGTATAACTTCTTTTTTTTTTTCTTTTGGCTTCTTCAGGTTGTCTAAGAAGTATAAATTCATTTAATTTTCTAATTATTTGTACTTTACCTTTCTCTTGATTAAATGAATACTACATCCAATGTAGGCACTTTAGAAAATGCAATAAGTAGAAAGTATGTGAAGTGCCCATTTTCCCAGAATGAGCACAGAGTGCCTCACCGTTCCTCTCAAGGAAGTCAGAGGGTCCAGAGGCGGGTATTTGTGGGGGCAGGTCCCTCTTCAGGCTGGTAGCTGAGTCAGCCCGAAGTTCACACAGCAGGGCAGAGACTCAGAAAGGGATGAGGATGTCCCCACAAGCACACAGCTAGGCACAGGCAGGGCCAGAGCCCCCTTATGCCGCCACCATGGCTTGGAGGGGGCAGAGGTGCCACGTAAGGATGGCATCTTGGTTATCTGGCCAGCTGGCCCTAAAGGGAAAGAACTAAGGGATTCAGTGTCCAGGCAAAAGGGAGATGCCTAGTTCAGACCTGGGGCCTCCTGAGCCAGCCTCTGCACCTGCAGCCTCACCAAGGGTGGGAGGGGCCATCTTGATGTCCCACCCCTCCCTGCTGGCTCTCTGTCTTTGACAAGAGGAAAATACGTATTTAACAAAGAAAAAGCTGCAAAAGGGAAGACAGAGCAGAGCAGGAGATGCCAGAGCAGCGACACCCTGGGAAAGTAGGTCTAGGGGCCCATTCCATTGCCAGAGGAGGGCCAGCGTGGTCAGAACCAGGCAGCAGCCTTGAACCCAGCAGTCCCAGGTGGGCATTCTTAGGAGAGCAGAAGCAGGAGTCACGGATGCAGTGTGCATAACAGCATGTCTCCCTGAGCTGTATTTCTGTGGACACTCTGTCCACAGAATGATAGCTGAACAGGGGCATGCCACAGAATGATAGCTGGACAGGGCCAGTGCTCCAGAGCAGCGGCCCCCACCTCTCTGGCATCAGGAACCAGTTTTGTGGAAGACAGTTCCCACGGACTGGTGGGGGTGGGGGGGAGTGGTTCAGGATGATTCAAGCACATAACATTTATTGTGCCCTTTATTTCTATTATTACATTGTAATATATAATGAAATAATTATATAGCCCACCATTTAAAAAGTGGTAAGCAAAATAATGGGCAGACCGTGCGCAGACTAAAATAAACATCGGATTCTGACTTAAAGCCTGCTACCAGATGCAGCTGCACAACTGAAGTATATCTGTTCACTTGCCACTTGCTGATAGGGTTTTTGTTGTTGGTTGTTTGTTTGAGTTGGAGTCTTACTCTGTCACCCAGGCTGGAGTACAGTGGCATACTCACCGCCACCACAACCTCGACTTGCTGTACTCAGGTGATCCTTCTGCCTCAGCCTTCCAAGTAGCTGGAACCCACAGGTGCACACCACTATGTCTGGGTAATTTTTTAATTTATTTATTGTAGAGACATCTCTACAATACAGAGAATTGCCCAAGCTGGTCTCAAATCCCTGGACTCAGGCAATCCTCTAGCCTCCAACTCCCAAAGTACACTGATAGGGTTTTGATATGAGTCTGCAAACGATTTATTATGGTCTCTGTTGAGTTAAACCTCACTGCTAATGTTGATCTGTATTGGCAGCCGCTTACTAGCACTAGCATCACCACCTCAGCTCCACCTCGGATCATCAGGCATTAGATTCTCATAAGGAGCATGCAACCTAGATCCCTCACATGCGCAGTTCACAATAGGGTTCGTCCTTGTATGAGAATCTAATGCCACAGCTGATCTGACAGGAGGTGGAGCTCAGGTGGGAATGCGAGCAATGGGGAGCAGCTGTAAATAAAGATGAAGCTTCTTCACTCACTAGCCTGCTACTTACCTGCAGTGCAGCCTGGTTCCCAACAGGTCATAGACAAGTATCGGTCTGTGGCTCGGGGGTTGGGGACCTCTGTTCTATAGCACTGTAGGATAACTAGAGTTAGCAATAATATTTAGTTTCAAATTTAGAGGGATGTTGAATGTTGCCAGCCCAAAGAAAGGATAAATGTTTGAGACAATGGATATGCTGACTACCCTGATCTGATCACCATACATTATATATATGGAACCTTCACTATGTACCCCATGAATAGGTACAATTATTATTTGTCCATTTAAAAAATAAGAATTTTTTAAATGGTGAAGATGGAATAAAGTAAATGTAGCATTTTTTAAAAACAGGCCAGGCACAGTGGCTCATGCCTGTAATCCCAGCTCTTTGGGAGGCAGAGGCAAGAGGATTACCTGAATCCAGGGGTTCAAGACCAGCCTAGGCAACTTGACGAGACTGCATCTCTACAATAAATCAAGAAATTAACCATGCGTGGTGGCGCATGCCTGTAGTTCCAGCTACTTGAAAGGCTGAGGTGGAAGGCTTGCCTGAGCCCAGCAGGTCAAGGCTGCAGTGGCTATGAGTGTGCCACTGCCTTCCAGCCAGGGTAGCAGAGTGAGACTACTACTCATAAAAACAGGAACGTCAGCTGATTAATGGATAAATAAAATGTGCAATATCCACACAATAAAATATTCAGCCACAAAAAAGAATGAAGCACTGACACATACTGCAATATGGCTGAACCTTGAGAACACTGGGCTGAGTGAAAGAAGCCAGTCACAAAGACCACATGTAGCATCGTTCTGTTCACAGGAAGTGTCCACTGTAGGCAAGACCATAGAACCAGAAAGTACTGTAGGTTGACTGGTGGTGCAAGGGACAGAGGACGGTAGGAATAAGGACTAACTGCTCCTGGGTACACGGTTTCCATTTGGAGTGATAAGAATGTTCTGGAATTAAATCATGGTGATGGTTGCACATCATTGTGAATGTACAAAATGCTGCTTTAAAATGGTTTAAGGCTGGGTGTGGTGGTTCACGTCTATAATCAGTACTTTGGGAGGCTGAGGAAAGAGGATCGCTTGAGCCCAGGAGTTAGACACTAGCCTAGGCAACATAGTGAGATCTTTTCTCCACAAAAAAAGTCAAAAACTTAGCTGGGCATGGTGCATGCACCTGTTGTCCCAGCTTACTCAAGAGGCTGCAGCGGAAGGATCACCTGAGCCTAGGAGGTCAAGTCTGCAGTGAGTTGTGATCATGCCACTGCACTCCAGCCTGGGTGACAAAGTGAGACTCCCGACTCAAAAAATAAAAATAAAATAAAATGGACCAGGTGCAGTGGTTCACACCTGTAATCCCAACACTTTGGGAGGCGGAGGCAACTTGTTAAGACCTCGTGTCTACAATAAAGCAAAAAATTAGCCAGGCATGATGGCATGCACCTGTAGTTCCTTAGAAGGCTGAGGTGGAAGGATGCCTGAGCCCAGCAGGTCGAGGCTACACTTGTAATTGCATCACTGCACTCCAGCCTGGGTGACAGAATGAGACTCTGACTCCAAAAAAATAAAATAAAATGGTTTAAATGGTGAATTGTGTCATGTGTATGTTACAATTTTTTTCCCACTGGTCAGGAAGAAACCCAATGGGTGTATGGACGTCCTGTTGAGGGAGGGGAGGGAGAGAGCAGAGCCAAGCAGGGTGTGGGGAAAACACAGGATCTTTTTGCCTCCGGAAGCCAGGCCTCCCCGCAGTCCCTGTCCTGCTGAAGTTCCCCTCTCTCTTCACCAGAGGACCTGTCCGACTCGGAGGAAATGTTCCCCGAGGATATCACCAAGTGGAGCTCCAACGACCTCATGGACAAAATCGAGAGCCCAGAGCCGGAGGACACACAGGGTAACTGGCCTGGGGGCCACAGAGCCTCGGGAGGGCAGCTGCAGAGCCCAAGGCCCTTTCTGACCCAGCTCTGCACAGCACTGGGCACCAGGGGCCTGAGCACCCCCCATTAGTGTTGCAGCTTCTGTTAGTGGCCCTTCGCTCACAGCACGGCTTCTGTATTGCAGACGGGCTATACCGCCAGAGCACCCCTGAGTTCAGGGTGGCCTCCAGTGTGGAACAACTGAACATCATTGAGGTGGGTGCCTGGGGGCTGGAGGGACAGGGCATGGCTGCTGGGGTGGGGACAGAGTATAGGGGAGCAGGCCTGCGGGCGATGGGGGCAGAACTCTGTGCCTGCAGCCTCACATCCACACCTGGGAGCCATCGTGAAGGGCTCTGGGCCTCCTTGTTGCCTCTCTCTCTCTGAGGTCCCTGGGAAGCAGGGACTGCAGCCAGCAGCCCCCAAGGAAGACCTTATCCAGGCTCCACCTGTGGAAAAGTAAAATGAGCAACTTGTAAATTCCAGATAAAAAATAAGATCTTCACCTTGTGCCCAGCCTGTCTGCTGTCCCTGAAGATAAAAAGAAGGGAAGGAAGCAAAAGTCGTCTGGGCAGAAGTGATGTGGCTGATGAGGTGGCCCCATGGGGGGCAGGCAGAGCTCAGTGTATCCAATAAAGCTGTCCTGGTAGAGCCCCTGCATCCGCTTCAGGGGTTCTTTGCGGAGCTCATACCCCCTCCTCCCCCACATGTAGGCGATCAGGGCTGTTTGCACTAGGGCAGAAGCTAGGGCTAAGCCAGACTGCCCCACGCTGCAGTTGCCTGTGGTCACTGCTCTGCTCTGGCCTCAAGCTGCCTAAGGTGAAGACGGCACCTGCTCCTGGGGAACTCTCCCATGGGGAGTCTGGAGGCAGGAGAAGCATCCACAATCCCCCACCTTGGTCCTCTGCTTTGTGGTATGGAGTCAAAGTGGGCTTTTCTAGAAGGGGTAATGGAATGGGGGAAGTTGATTTCCAATTGCTTCTTAATGGCTAGATAAAGCCAACAGAGCTCCTCCTGCAGTGCACACAGCTCTGACAGCCTGGGGGAAGGGCAGGAGGGCCTGGGCTCTAGATCTGCCTGGGATGTATGCTCAGAGTCCAGCATGGATTCTGGGGCACTGCCGTCCAAAGCCAGATCCTTTTGTCTGCAAGAGCCCCCAAACCGGAGTCCCCTCTCCTGACCCTGTGGATACACCAGAGAATGCCCAGGCTCTCCAGAGCCCACGGCTCCTGCTGGGGCTCTGGGCAGGGTGAATTCCTGAGGCAGGGTACCCTGGAGAAAGGCTAGGTGTGAAGCAAGTTGTATTTCAAGGGCCTGTGGGAGTCTCTGAACAGCCTCCATGGCTGGGCCCAGCCAGACAGGCCCACACAGGAATTTGTCAGCCCCTGCTGCCCAGCCCTGCTTGCTCCTTGGTGATTAATTACCTCTGGACCTTACGTTCCTATCCTGAGAACAAGGAGGCTGTGCAAGACATTTTCATTAGATCTTGCCTTGCTGGGCGGAAAGAGCCCTTGTCAGATGAGCCCGATGGAGCTCCTGGTCATCACCTCCTGGCCTGTGGTTCTGGGCAGCTGGTGCCCACTCCCCAACCCCAGGCTGTGGGTTTGTTCTTGCCCAGGCCAGCCAGTCTGCCAGGACCCCAGGCAGGAGAGAGGAAGCCCCATGGCTCCTCCTGGGGTGAGGGCAGACCAGCCTTCCTCTTCCAAGCCCAGTACCACCCGCCAGCCTTCCTCCTTTACCCTCCCAGAGCCCTCTGCTTCTCAGTGGCTCCCAGCCCAACCATTCCCTTGTGTTTCCTGTTGGCTTTGTCAACCCCCACACTGTCCACCCCTCTCAGCCTCTGCACTGGCCTCTGGGTCCTGCTGCTGCCTCCACGCCCTGCCCTCTGGTGGACTAGTTCAGGGCCAGCTGTCCCCACCAAAGGCCCTCCAGATGGCTTTGTCCTTGTTCTAGGTCCCTTGGGGACAGGACTCTCCCTTCAGCTCCCCTCTTTCTCCACCACATCCCTAGACATAGTATGGGCACAGCAAGTATTCACCAGTGAACCCTCTTGGGTCTTGACCCTGGTATCTCCCAGTCACACACCAGAAGCTTGGGGTGGGGTGTGGAGTATGGCTCCTGGAAGTAGGGGCACAGCCTGGGTTGGCAGGAGAGCACTGAGCACAGCAGGGCTCTGGGTTCCAGTCCACTGACACGCTATATGACATGAGACCAGTCCCTTGGCCTGGAATATTTTTGTACCCTGTGCACAGGTGTATAGGTCTAGGGTCACACTTTGACCTCACAGGCAAGTCTGACCAGCAGGTGGTGGATCTTATAATCAGATCAGCAGACCTGAGTTACCCTCCTGCTCTAAGGTGCCGAGGCTCTGCCCCCTCCAAGACTCCTTTGCTCTTGGGGACTTTGGTCTTAGAGAGAGTCCAGGAATGGCAGGCCTGGGGATGGGTCAAGGGAGGAAGTAGCTGGAGGAGAGCTCAGAGCTGCAGGCAGAATGGCCAGGGTTGCTGCCTGCCCAGGCTGTGGTTGCCCTGACCCCAGACATTCTTAAGTGAATCCTGTGACTTGGAGCTGGCAGTGACCCTTTCTGCTCAGGCCAAGAGACACATGGAGGTCAGGCAGCCCCCGAGGTTAGGACCAGGCTGAGTCTCTCTGCTTCCCTCCAAGCCAGAAGCCCCGGAAGCCAGAAGCTCCCTGGGCTTCTGGAAGGAAGGGGAGCTCATGCTCCCAGAGGAATAGACTCCCTCCTTCCATGTCCCCTGTGCCTCTGCTCAGGCTGGAGCTGAGCAGGACTGCAGGGAGGAGGAACAGACAGTCTTCACCTCCCTGGCTCCTCCTCCAGGCTCCAGTCCCTGCAGGGATCTGAGGGAAGGAGTTGACACAGCTGAACACCAGGCCCTGGAGCTGCGTGACTGAATCAGGGTTCTCAGAGGGAGCAATTGGGCCAAAACAGGCCTCCCCCTGGGGCAACAGACAGGCCTCCTCCTGGGGCTGAGTTTCCCAGGAAGTTGATGCTGCCCCCCACCCCCGCCTGTGTAGGACGAGGTCAGCCAGCCGCTGGCTGCGCCACCCTCCAAGATCCATGTGCTGCTGCTGGTGCTGCATGGAGGAACCATCCTGGACACGGGCGCTGGGGACCCCAGCTCTAAGCAGGGCGACACCAACACCATCGCCAACGTGTTCGACACCGTCATGCGCGTGCATTACCCCAGTGCCCTGGGACACCTCGCCATCCGCCTGGTGCCCTGCCCGCCCATCTGCTCTGATGCCTTTGCCCTGGTCTCCAAGTGAGTGGCATCTGCCTGCCAGCTCCCATCCTCGCACACAGCCTCTCGCGGTCCTGGCAACAGGGGGAGGGCAGCAGCATACCATCTCCCTTCCCACTTCCAAGCCTCTGGCAGCTCCCCTAGTACTGAGACCTTGACTTGATGCCCAGACCTGCTGGCCAGCCTCCTCTGCCAGGAGGCAGCAAATCATACGTAGGCAGCAAATCATATGCAGAGTCCCAGGAAGGGCTGGGGCCCAAGGTTGAGCTTCAGTTTCCAAATGTGTCATGTAGAAATTCTGACCTATCTCCGAGATACAGGGTCCTACTCACCAGCCCTGTTCCCAAGCCTGCCTAGGGCCTGGCCTGGAAGTGTCCCCATGAGTTCTTGCCAAGTCCATGGCTGGGACTCAGTCAGGGCAGAGCAGACCTTTGGGCAGAGCTGAGGCCTCCTGCCTCTCCTGACCGGTCCTCTCCCCCAGCCTCAGCCCCTATAGCCACGACGAAGGCTGTCTGTCCAGCAGTCAGGATCACATCCCTCTGGCTGCCCTGCCCCTGCTGGCAACTTCATCACCCCAGTACCAGGAGGCGGTTGCCATGGTGATTCAGCGAGCCAATGTGGCCTACGGGGACTTCATCAAGTCGCAGGAGGGCATGACCTTCAATGGGCAGGTGAGTCCTGGGGGAAGGGGGAGAGGGGAAGATGGAAGACTCTGCAGGGTGGGTTGCCTGACACAGAAGGTGACTTCCCCAGGCTGTAGCCCAGGGATCAGGGCAGATGCTCAGGCCTTGGGACCCCTCCCGCCCCCAGGTCTGCCTCATTGGGGACTGTGTCGGGGGCATCCTGGCATTCGATGCCTTGTGCTACAGCAACCAGCCGGTGTCTGAAAGTCAGAGCAGCAGCCGCCGGGGCAGCGTGGTCAGCGTGCAGGTACCGGAATGGGGCCCAAATGTCCACTGAAGCCTGTAGTCTCTTGCGGTCCTAGAGGCTAGCTGCCCTGCCTGCTGCTGGGGCACTGGGCTGGCACTTGGCCCCGGGCTGTGCCCACTGAGCAAAGGGCTGGCAGCACTTCCTGAGTCCACTTGGCCCAGATGCCATTCAGCAGAGCTCCACTTATTCATTTATTCATTTAACAAACATTTTCCAAGCCCCTGAGCCACAGCCCTGCTGCCAGAGCTCGCCATCAGAGAAGGGGACATGGAGGGGTTGAGGGTAGACAAACCAAGGGTGCCCATTCTATCCAAGGAATCAGGGAAGGCGCCCAAAGCCCATCTGTATGCTGGGCCCTGGAGGAGGTTAGGAGTCTTCCTCAGAATCCTTCCTTCCTCACTCCCCAAAAAGGTTAGAAAGGGCAGAGTTGCCAGTACAGGTGTCCAGAGGTGCCGGGGCAGAAGCTGGGGGGCAGGTGAACAGCTGCTGTGTGGCTGAGCCCAGGAGTGCATGTGACTTCACGGGCCATACATGGAAGTCTGCACCATGGGAGGCCCCGATTGCTGGAGGTAGGATGGCGGCCTCCCTCCACTTCCCAGGTGGGAGGAAGGATCTGAGGTCCCTGAGATGCAGAGTGGTAAATGACTTAGGGGAGATCTCTGAGGTCCAGGATGGCCGGTGGGCTGGGGACCCCAGGAGACATGGCCTCTCACCTCTGGCTCAAGAGAGTGGCCGGCTGCGCCTAATCTGGAGGAAGGAAGCAGTTTCTAGGGCACTGGAGAAGGGACCGGGCCCATGGCCACCCTGCAGTGAGCCTCCACGGGGCCATTCCAGGACAATGACCTGCTGTCCCCGGGCATCCTGGTGAATGCAGCACACTGCTCTGGCAGCGGCGGCGGTGGCAGTGGTGGCGGCAGTGGCAGTGGTGGTGGCTCCAGCCTGGAGAGCAGTCGGCACCTGAGCCGCAGCAACATCGACATCCCCCGTAGCAACGACACCGAGGACCCCAAAAGGCAGCTGCCCCGCAAGAGGAGTGACTCATCCACCTACGAGCTAGATACCATCCAGCAGCACCAGGCCTTCCTGTCCAGGTGGGTGGGGGCAGGGGATGGGAGGGCCTTTGCAAGTGAGAGGGACGCCCCTGCCAATCGCTGGCCTAAGGGTGGGGGTGGGGTGGCAGAGGCAGGAGCAGAACTGACGAGGGTGGCATGGTCAGGGCTGTCTGGAAGGTGGTGTGCTACCTGGAGAGGTTGGGACCCGCTGTCACCAGAAGCATCCCGGAAGATGCTGGGCAGCTGTGCTCACAGGACAGCACAGGAGCAAATCTCACTGATGATGCAGAGGGGCCACTGGACCCAGCCTGTCCCCAGTGAGGCTGAGGGGAGGCCGGCCCTGAGAAGGGCTGTGGTGTGACCACATGTGTGCCTCTCCAGCCTCCATGCCAGCGTACTGAGGACGGAGCCCAGCTCCCGCCGCTCCAGCAGCTCCACCATGCTGGACGGCACAGGGACCCTGGGCAGGTTTGACTTTGAGATCACCGACCTCTTCCTCTTTGGGTGCCCGCTCGGGCTGGTCCTGGCCTTGAGGAAGACCGTCATCCCAGCCCTGGATGGTGAGAGCTCTGCAGGGCTGCAGGTGGGATGGGTGGTAATGAGCCGGGCAAGGGGGTCTCAGTGGACCCCTGTCATGAGACCATGGCCAGGTCCTGGGCCCATTTCTGCCTTCCTTTCTGCCTTCCCCCAAGGGTTGCTGTCCTTTGCTCTTGCTTCAGCAGCTCGGTCACTGGCCCATCCCTGACACCCCATTTCATTTCATCAAGGTGCCCATGGGAGCTGAGGGCCATTCCCCAGATAGGCAAGCTGAGGCCCAGGGAGCAAAGGCAACACCCCAGAGTCAGAGGGGCTCAGACCCAATCCGAGGTCCTCCCACAGGGAGACACACAAAACCAGGCACTCCCCCAAGGACTCCTGGGCACAGTAGCCTCCACAGTCTACACAGAGGGAGGGCCTGCCCTAGACCAACCCACGCAGCTCCAGGAAGCCACACGCTCCTTACAGTAGCCATGCAGGACCCATGTCACCTCCCAGAGGACAGGGGGAAACAGGCTCAGAGAGGTTTAGACAGTTGCCAAGTGCTAGGTTAAAAATGCAGACCCCCAGACTCAGCACCCTGTGCTGCTTCCCCTTCCTCAAACTGGCGACTTAAGTGCTGTCAGGAAGGGAAATGTGTAGCATTAAAGGGATCCCCAACAACCAGGGCAACTCACACTTGGTGTGAATGGATGCAGCCACCTGGAGGGCAGTGTGACATCATGCATCAGGACAGTCCCACCCCACTCTGAACAGTCCCACAGAGACCCTCATACTAGTGCATGGAAACAGAGACAGTGCCACCGTGGCCACATTATTTGTAATCGTGAACCCAAACATCCATTGGAGGGGACTGGTCACATAAATTGTAGAGCACCACACAGTGGGGCATCAGCCACCATTAAAACCAACGAGACAGAACCAGGTGTGCTGTAGGAGAAACCCCCCACGTTCTGTTGTGTGGGGAAGGAAGCAGAGTTCAGACAGCACTGCACACGCGCCCGCTCGTGGTCCTGGCAGGGAGCTCTGCAGAACTCACTGTGCGCTCCCGCGTTCTTACCTCTTGTGACCTCCCGAACAGCTGCCTGAGGTGGCTGGAACAGCGGTGCCCTTGACAGAGAAGGAAATGTTCCCAGTCCGGTGGGGGTGGGGGCGGGAGCTCCTGAAAGAGGCAGCTGCAGCTGCCAGGGCTCTGAGGCGGGGAGGCATCCCTATGCGCCCTTCTCATGTCTGGTTCTCTACCTCCAGCTAGCCCTCCACCATGGCCATCAGAACTTTTTGAGTTTAAAAAAATTGGATAATAAAGTGACAGTGACCCAAACGTCCCATGTTGGGGTCCCCAGCCCCCACCCACCAGGGCAGAGCCAGCCCCAGGCTCTGCAGCCGACACCCTGCCCCCAGTTTTCCAGCTGCGGCCAGCCTGCCAGCAAGTCTACAACCTCTTCCACCCCGCGGACCCGTCCGCCTCGCGCCTGGAGCCACTGCTGGAGCGGGGCTTCCACGCCCTGCCACCCCTCAGCATCCCGCGCTACCAGCGCTACCCGCTGGGGGATGGCTGCTCCACACTACTGGGTGAGGGCGAGCCCTGCTCCTCCTCGGGAAAGGTGGGGTGGGTGCGGCCCATGGCTCTTCCCCAGGGGAGGGACAGCCTGCAGAAAACACCTCCTTGGGGCAGGTGCATCAGTCCTCTCTGATCCCTTGCTGATCCCTGTGAAGCGCCTTCAGAGGGCACAAGTCAGGGCCTCACCCCAGGGTGCCAGGGTGGGGTGTGGGGCACGGGGTGTGGGAGGGTGTGTCAGAGACTTCCCTGCCCACTGCCCAAGCCTCCGTTCCAGCAGAGACAGAACCAAGAACCTAGGAGGGGCCCTCACTGTATTGGGGACACGGTTGGGCCCCATCATGGCTGGTGGCCAGTCCAGAAATGGGGGTGTAGGAGATGGGAGTGGGGGAGGATATGGGGGAACACAGGCCCCTCCCCCCACCCCACGTGTGTCCCAGCATCTTGTCATGTCCTAGTCCTGCAGGCGTCCCAAGTCTGTGTCAGAGCGTGTATAGATGGCCTGCGCGAGTGTCTGTTCTTGTCCTCTCTGTTCTCTCCCCGTCTATCTCTAGTTGAGACCGTGCAGAGAAACCCTGAGCTGGTCCTGGAGGGCGGCCCCCTGGCCCCTCTCCCCTACAGGGACGGCTTCCTGGAAACCAGTATTCCCGTTCCCGCGCCCACCTGGCAAGATGGGCCCCGCCCAAGCCTGGGCTGTGCTGAGTGTGTGTACCCCACTCCCGCTCATGGTGATGTCCGCTTGGCTGGCTGATCCCTGGTCCTCAGGGACCCGTCCCTGCCCTTCATGGCCACTTGGAGTTCATGGGACCCTGGTTGCCAGGATCAAAGACCCAGGCAGGAAGGCCCTGGGAGTTGGTTTTGGTGCCTCTTCCCTGCACACTGTGGGCCAGAGGCTGTCCCAGGGTTACACAGCACATTAGTGACAGTCCAGGGGCTCTGTCCCTGATGGTGAGGCTGGCAGAGCAGACAGGAGATGGGGTAAGGCCTGGAGTCAGCCGGCCCCCTCTCCATCCTCACCCAAGAGAAGCCTCCTGTCCTAGTGAAGGACCTCTCCCTTCTTTCCCTGCAGGCACCTCCAGCACCAGCCCACTCGCGGTTTCTCTGGCCAAGCCCTGTCTTCCCGCTCTGCCTGTCCTCAGGCCCAGCTGAGCCTAGCTTGAACCCCTAGCACCTGCTTTTGTCCCCATCAGGGCGGGCCAGCTGTGGCCTGTGTGTGAGGGATGCCAGGGGCTTGCCTCCTCCTCAGGCCTCTGCATGTCTAGAGCATCCCCTGGAAGCCACCCAAGGCTCCTGTTGTCAGCACCCCTCAAGCTGGCCTAGAGCTACCACTGCCCTGCTGTGGCCTAGGTCAAGCCCTAGAGCACAGGGGGCCCTGCTGATAGAGCTGTTGGAGACCAGCCAAGGAGCAAATGTGGGCAAGGGGGTGGCTGTGGAGGGATGAACCCAGCCTCCTCACCTCCCGCCCTGTGTCTGTGTCTGTCCATCTGTCCAGCCCTGCCAACCCTTCTCCCCGCCTCAGCTCTGGGCCCTGGCATGGCCACCACCCCCGCCCCCAGCCTAGGTGCACACTGAGCCCAGCACACCGGCTCCTCCGCTGCTCAGGGGCCAGGCTGGGTGGGGCCTCTCTCACATGGGCCTCTGGTCCCTGTTCACCTGCAGCTGACGCACTCCAGACCCACAACACAGTCTTCCAAGAGCACGGGGCCCCTTCCTCACCCGGCACGGCACCCACCAGCCGTGGCTTTCGCCGAGCCAGCGAGATCAGCATCGCCAGCCAGGTGTCAGGCATGGCTGAGAGCTACACAGCATCCAGCATTGCCCAAAGTGAGTGACCAGGCCCCCTGTGCCCTTCTTACTCAACCAGGCCACTGAGCCCCACGCCTGGGGACAGCTGGCCAAGTCTAGAGGCATTTTAGTTGCTATAGCTGGGGAGGTGGCACTGCTAGCATCTGGTGGGTAGAAGCAGAGGGTGCTGGGCACCATAGCACCCAGGCCAGCCTGCAGCCTGACTCTAGTGGGCCAGGCCAAGCAGGAGTGCCAGGCTAAGAAACACCACCTACTCGGGAGGATTCTGGAGGAAGGCTTGAGAGGGGGCCCCTGCCTCCTCGTGTTTGGCTTCTGCCACCTCAGAGGCCTCCTTGAAGTCACCCCCTTCGTCCCCAGGTGGCTGCCCCATGCTGGGCCAGGGATTCTCTCGGCTGTGGTTCATGCAGCCATGAAGGGGCTGAGGCCTGTTTGGGGGCTTCTGGTTGCTGCATGCATCCATGAGGGTCAGGAGGACCTGCCCTTGCTGTCCCAGGCCAGCTGTCTGCCCACTGTCCCACCTAGCCCGAGTAGCGTCAGCGTAGCTGAGCCATCCGTTGTTCTTGCTTCTCAGAGGCCCCCGTGTCACTCAGCCACACCCCCAGCGTCAGGCGCCTATCCCTGCTCGCCCTGCCCGCCTCCCACCCTCCCACCCCCAGTCCCCCGGCCAGGCAGGCAAGCCCTGGCCTGGACAGGGCCCCCTGCCTCCCTGAGCTGGACATCGGAGAAGGTACTGGCCTTGCACTCACTCACACCCTCCCCTCACTCGGGGTCACTCACTGCTGCTGAGCACCTCACCCGCTCACCACCACACCCTGCCCACCTGGACCCCTGCCATGGCCTACAAGGGAGCGGGAGGCTGGGCTGGGGAAACTCGGACATCCAGGGAGGCAAGGGCTGGTGGTGGTGGCTAAGGGGATGGGGGCCCCACGGAGCTGGAACGAGGCCAGATGAGGACCAGGAAGCTCTGTGGGTCCCCCATCATGCAGGCTGCAGGCAGAACACAGGGGAGCCTGGACCCATAAGACAGGCACTGTATGGGCACCTCCTACAAGTGGCAGAGCCAGATACACAGCAGGACCATCCAGCTAGGGGTCCAAGCTCCACCACCCACCCTGCTGCCTCCCAGGGCTGTGGGCAGTCCAGGTGCTGAGGGTGGCAGAGCTTGCCTGGGGAGTCAGGGATGGTAACCTCCCTCTGTGATGCCTTTCACAGCCTTGAGGCCTGGGGGCAGACAGAAGAAGAACAGAGTGGTCCAGATAAGGCCGAGATGGGGTCCAGGGCAGAGTCACCAGAGTCAGTGACATGCCCAGGAACAGCTAGTCCTGTCTGCACACCCAGCTGGCCCCTCTACCCCCTCTCCTGTGGAGGGCCCCCAGTAGTGCTGATGCTCATGGCCTGGCCGTGGCCTGCCCATGATCCTCTGGCTGCTTGGGTGCTGTCCTGACATCCGCCTACATTCTTGCTTCCCTCTGTGACTGGGCCTGGGAGGAGGAGGCTTGCTCTGGCTGCAGCCGGTGGGGGGTCTGGTCTGGGCTGAGCCAAGCCTCAAGGGCCAGGTCACCCTCTGGGGTCCCTGCCCTGGCCTCGCAGCCCCAGCCCAGTCACGGCCCCTCCTGGCAGTCGCTGCAAAGTGGTGGGGCCAGAAGCGGATTGACTACGCCCTGTACTGCCCTGATGCCCTCACGGCCTTCCCCACTGTGGCCCTGCCCCACCTCTTCCATGCCAGCTACTGGGAGTCAACGGACGTGGTCTCCTTCCTGCTGAGACAGGTACCCTGTGGTTGACACTGCCATGACACAGCCCCATATCACAGATGACAGGGCCAGTGGGGACCCCCCCCTCTGTCCACAGCAGACCACAGGGCAAGCAGGACAGAGGCAGCTCTATGCTAGCATGTGCTAAGACTTTTAGGAACGGTGGAATGGGATGTATTTGCATGCTTGGGGTACAAATGGGAGCTTGGGGGGCCGCTGGGTGGTCTGTAATGGGCTAAACAGTATTCCCTCAAAACCCTCGCAGGCTCCTCCTGCAGCTCCTGGGCATTAGGCCTCTTCCTCCCCCAGCAGGAAGCCTCCCAGTGGCTCTGCCCCATGGCCAGCCCTGTCTCCCTCCCAGGTCATGAGGCACGACAGCTCCAGCGTCTTGGAGCTAGACGGCAAGGAGGTGTCAGTGTTCACGCCCTCAAAGCCTAGAGAGAAGTGGCAACGCAAGAGGACCCACGTGAAGCTGCGGGTGAGGAGCCCAGGCCCTGGCCCTGCCCTGTTGAGTCCCCACGAGAAGCCCTTTCCCAGTTTCAGATGAGAAGCCTGAGGTGCAGCGACACGTGCTGTCTTACTGTGCCCTCCCAGGCTGCGAGGTGGGAGCCGTCAGCCCGTTTCAAGACCAGGGAGTAAGCAAGGCTTCCTAATTGTCCCAAGGCCATGTCGTTCTAGTGGCTGACCAGGACACTGCCATGGGCTGCCTGGCTCTCAGCCTAGGTTCACGCCTCAGGCCCACAGAGCTTAAGCTGGGCCCAGGAGACCCCCACGCCCTCCATCCTCCACCCTAAGCCAGCCTTGCTCTTCCTCCCCCAGAATGTGACTGCCAACCACCGGATCAACGATGCAGTCGCCAATGAGGATGGCCCCCAGGTTCTGAGCGGCCGGTTCATGTACGGGCCCCTGGACATGGTCACCCTGACTGGAGAGAAGGTAAGGATGTGGGGAAACGCAGGAGGACTTCAGGGGGCTCCCCGCCACCCTCTGGCCTGGTGTAGGAGCAGGGAGGCCAGGGCGCAGCCAGCTCATGACCAGCCGCGGGGGCGGTCCCCAGGTGGACGTGCACATCATGATGCAGCCACCCTCAGGCGAGTGGCTCTACCTGGACACACTGGTGACCAGCAGCAGCGGGCGTGTCTCCTACACCATCCCCGAGACGCACCGCCTGGGTGTGGGTGTCTACCCCATCAAGATGGTAGTCAGGTACGTGGCTCCACCAGGGCGGGAGGGTTGAGAGGACAGGCTCTGGCTGGTTCTGATGAGCGCCCCCCCACCCCTGCCTGCCAGGGGAGACCACACGTTTGCCGACAGCTACATCACTGTACTGCCCAAGGGCACAGAGTTTGTGGTCTTCAGCATCGACGGCTCATTTGCCGCCAGCGTGTCCATCATGGGCAGCGACCCCAAGGTGCGGGCCGGGGCTGTGGACGTGGTGCGGTGAGTGGCCCAGAGGGGCACTAAGGAACTGTAGCAAGGTGGGCAGGCTCGAGGGCCCCTGCAACCAGCTGGGGGAGGACGGGGACGCCTTTGCAGGGGAATGCTTGGCTCGGCCACCAGGCCTTGAGAATGTTTGGTGCCCAGCACCCCCACTTATTAGCTGAGTCACCTTGGGCAGGTGATTTAACCTCTCAGTGTTGGCCTTCAGTTCCCTCACCTGGAAAGTGAGCTGGTGAGTCTAGTTCCACCTCCAGTAGAGGGCGTCTGTGGGGACTAAGTGACCAAAGCTCCGAGAAGCCTGCCAGCCCTGTGCCAGCCCCCGTGAGGACTTTCTGCTGCCACCATCATTGTCACTGTTACTGTTTGGGCACCAGCTGGGAAGGAGACCGGGAGACCCAGGAGGAAGGGCAGGGCAGCATGAGACACCCAGGCCTGGTCTCGCCCCCAGGCACTGGCAGGACCTGGGCTACCTCATCATCTATGTCACGGGCCGGCCCGACATGCAGAAGCAGCGGGTGGTGGCGTGGCTGGCCCAGCACAACTTCCCCCACGGCGTGGTGTCCTTCTGTGACGGCCTGGTGCATGACCCGCTGCGGCACAAGGCCAACTTCCTGAAGCTGCTCATCTCTGAGGTGGGGCCCAGGAAGACAGGGTTGGGGCAGGGGTGGGGCGGAAGGGCAGGGCCGGTGCCCACGATGGTCTCGCCCACAGCTGCACTTGCGTGTGCACGCAGCCTACGGCTCCACCAAGGACGTGGCGGTCTACAGCTCCATCAGCCTGTCCCCCATGCAGATCTACATCGTGGGCCGGCCCACCAAGAAGCTGCAGCAGCAGTGCCAGGTGAGCGCACACGTTGGGGGCGGGCACGACGGGCAGCCCCAGGAGCCCCCAGCCCGACAGCCCCTCCTCCCCACTGCCCCACAGTTCATCACGGATGGCTACGCGGCCCACCTTGCTCAGCTGAAGTACAGCCACCGGGCGCGGCCGGCCCGCAACACGGCCACCCGCATGGCGCTGCGCAAGGGCAGCTTTGGTCTGCCTGGCCAGGGTGACTTCCTGCGCTCCCGGAACCACCTGCTCCGCACCATCTCGGCCCAGCCCAGCGGGCCCAGCCACCGGCACGAGCGGACACAGAGCCAAGCAGACAGCGAGCAGCGGGGCCAGCGCAGCATGAGCATGGCAGCCAGCTGCTGGG